AGTTACATTTATTGATGGCTCAGTATCTTTGCCCTTCTGTACATCATTTCCAGTAGTAAACTCGAGACCAGGGTTCGGCACAGCTGGCACCGGATTAAGCTGGATATCGTTTTTGGGGCAAAAAGCAAAGGGGATATCGTTTTTGTGGCCGAAAGGCACAAAAATTGCGACGCTTCGCTTTTCTGAGGGTTTTTTACGCTTTAAGTTTAGGGTCAAAGGGGACTTCGTCAAATTTTAGGCAAGTCAAGGGGACTTCGTTTTAAAATTTTCCTGGTGCGTTCGTATTGAGCTCTGTTCGGATTCACTGGACTTATGATAAGTAATGGGGATAGCTGACCTTTAAAAGATTTCTTTCGAGCAAAACCGCTACTCAGTGATTTTCAAATAATGAATGTATGCAGCGAGACTTGCAGGTTGATGTAAAACATTTTTGTTTATGTTCAGTACTTTCAGAATCTTGTTCAGTACTTTCAGAACCTTGCAAGATTACTTGTGTGACCTTCTATTCTTTGTCGCGGTTTTTCAATCATTTTTTATGCATGACAAAAGCAGCATATTTAGCATGATTTCATGAATGTCACTGTCTCTTGAACAGCCCCAAAAATCATAAAATTCTTGGTAACCATGCAGCTCAGATGTTTAATGTCATCCATGTCATAATAAACTTCTGGCAACTATTTGCATCCAACTGTTTTTTTTTCATTAATCATCGCCATCCACTACAAGTTTAATTGCGCTCATAAGTAACAAGATTCAATGAAACTCTATTCGTCCGAAATTGAACTTCACAAAATCACTTTAAAACGGTATTTTTATTTTTTTACGCGAACTTAGTCACTCATTACCTGAAAATGGCAAGATAGCGAGCAAATATATACTGAAATACCTTTGTAAGCTGAGGCATCGTGGCAACTCCTAAGTCATCTGAAAATCACTTGTGCCGCTGGAATTGCAGCGATATTCTTGCACTGTGTTGAAAGCACGATAGTATTACGCTGTAAACTTTCCTATGTCTCAAACACTGCAGCATCTGCACCTTGCGTATTTGTAAATGCTCTGAGCACTTTGATACTTTACAACTTATCGCTGGATGAGTCATGGGTATGGAGAAGTGCGTGTCACGGACACACCTTTGAGTTAATGTGACTCATAATTGGCATACTTTGCCGGTAGATCAAGTTTCTTGTTTGAAGGAGAATAATCCTAGAAAAAGAATTTTGCACCAGAGCAACAAGTGAAACGGGTTGAACACATCGATTAACCTCCAAAGGATTCTTTTAAATTTTTATGGATCTGTCATTGTTTAGTAGAAATAGTATTTCTAACAGAAGGCCGCGCAAAAAAGCTCAAATTCTTGAGAGTAGGGAATATAAGCTACTTATTCTCATCAGAGGTGAAACCCGCGTGAATTTACTATTTTTTTTACTTACGATCAACTTTTTTTTTGAAATGAACATAGAATAACGTTGTTGGTACAGTACGAAAACCTGAACTGTTCTGAAAAAGCTTGGAACCTCACCACGAGTATATTTTTATCCTTAAGTTCATATTCGCATGTTTCTATCATTCGATTTCTATGGAATGCAAGCAAACTTGTTTTTCATAAAAATCAAAACAAAAACTCCGATCAATTTAATCCGCATGTTGTATCAATCTATTGCGCTCGACATTTCAAAGAAGAAATTGCAAGCCCTTGCAATCAGTGTAACAACGGAGATTTGAGAGTTCCAGTTACAAGCTTAAAAGTTGACTAACTATGATAACATTATTGAACAAACAAACGGACTAGTTCTCCTGCTCATATAAAAATTGCCCACGCTTTCTTTTTTGAAAAGTGCTCCGAATCACAGTGAAAACATCATGAGGGGCACATGGAACCTGACTCTAAGTTGAAAAACATCTTGCAACATCAATCCACCTCCAACTTACTTAAAATGCTAAATGATAATGCTCAACTGATAAAAGAATTCTCATCAATTATCCTACGCTAACAGCCTACCAGCGTTTTATTTCATAAGAGCTTTTAGCTTTTAACTCAACACTTCGTGCTTAAAAGCGAGTAAACAGCATATGTTGTTTTGTCCATCACCACCCTGTCACATTACTGGTGGTTTTTTCTCAAAAATTCAAGCCGAATCAAATATCCTCGCCTTGAAATCTGTGAAGCCGTCTAAACTCCATTTTCTAACAATGCGAATGAGTATGAGATTCTTCGAATTTTCAAAGTAATCCTTTTCCAGCTCGAACACACGAACTTCCAAAGTTTAGGAAGCAGAATAATGAATTATTTCGAGGACCTAACTGCTTAAACCTCGTGTTTTACAATATCGACATCAGCGTCGGGTGCACAAACTCTCAAACGGAAACAGCAAGGGGTGTCCTAATTTCAAAGCAATCGCTGATATTAATTTGCGTGAAAATAATAACAGGAGAAAAACAGGAGTGTAGAGCATTGACAAAGTGATCAAACTGATAATTCTCGGAGTTCACTAGCAGAGAATTTTTTCGAATTCTGCTTGAAAGCTGCGATGCATGTAATCGTTCATTTCTTAATTGTTTTACTCGAAAGGACAATTTAACAAAAACCATAAAATGATCTATTATAGTTTAGCATTGAACTACTCAGTAGCAGTCTGTATTTCTATCATTTTAACCCCTGCTAATTGCTATGTTCCATGTCCCTTCCTCGTTCTACCCCTTTTTTTGTCTATCTTATGCTCACGAAGCGGTCCTGGAAGAGCAAATCTTACCGTTTATTTGACAAATGACGTGAGAGGAGTTATCGCATCACATGTCGGAACGTACATACAGCTTACCTCTTGTTTGTCATTGCTTTGAAACAATTTTCATAAAAAGTGCTCACACCCAAGGATTTTTCATTCTTCTTTTCCATAACAGAAATTCAACAAGGGCTTTTAACTATTGCATGAAATCAGAAAAAATTTGAATCGATTTTGCATGAGCAAAGATAATACAATACTTTGCCAAATTTTGCTGTTTCATGTGTTCGAAATCTGGCCACAAATAGCAAATTCTTCGGTTTGCTTCGTTCGTCATCATGCCCTTCTTTCTAAAAATTCTCGAACTCTTTCTGTTGAAGCAGCCCTTCAGAATACTAAAAAAGCCTAAGTTTGACTATGCAAAGGTTGCAAATGTTGCGCATTTAGTTCAATAGCACATTTTTTTCATCCTCGCATTTAGTTCAGGAGCAGATAGGTTTCATACTCTCGATCTTTGACAGTTTTTGACTTTTGTACAAAATCAAATAGTTTCAATCTGTATGAAAATCTCGTTGACTTCTGGCATATTTCGGGGACTAAAGGCCTTCTTCCAGAATCTCACGATTGTAAGCCTGTTAAAATATTGGAAAGCATCGCAACAATTTTTTAGAGAGCTCGGCCTCTTCACACGAACAAAAAGCTCTGTCGATCTAATCCCTCCTAAAAAAAGTCTGGGATGCTGCTGATCTGCAGTCAAGTTATCCAAGCCAGAATATGCAACGAATCAGATTTTTTGTAATTTCACTAAGAAAAAAGATCTTTCTTTTGCAAATATGTTTCAAGGAGTTCTTAGTGGGCATTTTTTGCAGAGATAAAAGTGAAAAAGAGAATATCCAGCTCTCAATCAGCTCAATTAATCAATGAGCTAGGTCGGTAAAAATCTGGAACCATGCAAAAAGCCTGAAATTTTCAGTACATAATTTTTATGGCATTTTGCCACTAAAAAGAAGTTTGCGTATTTGGACTTTAAAAATTGACAACTTATTCAATTTTGGGTTTTCTGTTATAAACCTGAAATTCATAATTTCTCATGGAGACAATGTGTCTTCCTTGCAAAGAATAGGTCATAGGAACCTGTGTACTGACAATTTCAGATTTTTCGAGATTTTTGACAACCTAATTTCAAACAGTCAAAGCTAAATTCTTCTTCTCTCATTTTCTTCTCTGCAATGAGCGTACTGCAGAAGTTTAACAAGAAAGATCAACAAAGGAAAAGACTTTGATACAAACCAATGATCTCGGTCGCACAAAGTAGTGCTAATTTTGAATATTTCGCTAAAAGAAACTTCACCACCACTTTGTACGAAATCTCTATACTTTCTCTCGGTGAAAGTGCAGCGAGCTATGTGCATGTGGTGGTAACCTTGCATCTTATCCAGTTCTTTCACTTTTGTTGATAATGTGCAGCTGTAAAGAAGAAAAACTCGAACGCATGCATCGTCAGCCGATGACTTGCGTCACGTAGATCTTGCACTAACTGCCAACCACTCACTACAGCCATTTTTCATGCACCAATAAATTTTGTACACGTACAAGCTCTTTGTCAACACTACTTTGCACCTGGCTCTTTCTGTGTTCGTAAGTTTTATGATCTATTATTGTATTATCTGTTATCATACTGCTTTCTGGCAACATTGAGCAAGACTCGGCACAGGTGGCTTGCAAGCAAGCTGGATATCGTTTTTGGTCAGTTTGGTGGTTTTTGGTTATCGTCAAAAAGCGAAGGGGGTATCGTTTTTGAGGCCGAAAAGACGCAAAAATTATGGCGTTTTTTTATGTCGACATTTCGTTTTTTGAGGGTTTTTACGTTTAGGATTTAAGGTCATAGGCGACTTCGAAATCGCTAAAGTCGAGGAGGACTTCTTTTTTTTGCATTTTCCGAACCACCTCGTGCCGAGCCCTGACTTTAAGTGTTAGTAAGGCATTCGCACAAAGTAGCTGTTTTTGGTCTTTGTCCTTTAGAGCTTGGATAGTTACAGTACGATAAAGGTCTACGGAAAAAATGCACAGAGTTTGTTAATCCTTCGACCTGAATTGATGAAGACTTTACAAAAATGAGGAACGTTTTTTTGGTAGAAGAGAATTCGTCTACTCAACCTTTTAAAGAGCTACAATAATATTTTTTCTAACGGAAACAAACAGTTCAAGTTTTATGCTCATATTTGTCGAAAATTAGAGGTCTGAAATTACTCCTACCTTATTATGTCCGTAATGCTCAGGATGACTCAAAAGACGGCGGCTATGGTGGGTTCATTTGTACAGGGGTGCATCTTCACATCGTGCGCAGCAGTCCACGACTTATTCCTTATGAACAGCCAAAATGTTATAATGATTATACTCTTATTGTTAAAAGACGTTTAATCAACCTGTTCGAACGCCTATATACTCAAAAAAAAAGAGAAAGGAATGAGATCTTTTTATAAATTGACATTTGTAAGAAAATTTGTAAAGTAATGAGCGTGGTACGATACAAATTGAGTCAAAAACGACTCGGTTCTAATAAACATCTAAAGTATCTCCTGAGCAGAATTGTTACGGTATTACTGCAACCTTGGGATACTTCACGGAGTAGATTGTGTGGAAACGTGGAAACATTCATACGGTAAATAGGAAAAAAGGGCCGAAAATCACTGTTCGATAAAATTCGAACTTCGCTAGCTTCGAACTTCGAAAACTTCGCTAACTAGCTTCGTGAGATTCCCTGAGCATTCACACATCCTCTAGTACTTTATCAGATGTAACTGGGAAAAAGTTGTTTGAACTCACACGACACTTTACGAAATATTGATTTTAAAATCTTACTGAAAAAGAAATAGGATTTTTTGGGAGAACTCGTGCGCTTTTATTTTAGAGGACAAGTGGAGAATAAGCAGCGTCAATTTGAAATGTTGAAAAATTTGGAAATCTTTCATCGGCCTACAAATCTGATTTCCATAACTTCTAAACGCAGTCTTAAACATGTGTAGAATTCCTCGTGAAATTGAACTAAGCGTGGGGGTATGACAGTCTCTGACTCATCCTTGTCATAGTTTTTCTGAGCGTGGAGCGTTTTTACGTTCGCGGCCTTCGAAACAGCCACATCGGACAGCTGTTACTGTCGAGTCAGTAGCGCGCCCCGCATAGTTACCTCCCGTGACTAAGCGTCTGATCGGCAGTAACCCGTGTTTCAACACCCGAAAATCCTCTAGGATTTGATTTTTATTTGGCCAGCGGCTCTGCGAAGTGCGCGTCGTCGGCGGTTGCGCAGCGCTGGCGAGATCTCCGCTGTCCGGTGTTTTGTTTGCCGAAGTGCGGCTCCGCCTTCGTCTCGACAGTCACCACACTCTCACCTCTCGTCCCCCGTCTCCTCCTCGTCCCCCGTCATCTTCTCGCACTAATCCTCACCCCCCGCACACAGAACTTTTGCCATCAAATCCCCCGGAATCCCTGGTCTATTTGAGGGCTCCTGTTTTTACCGTTTCCTTTAGAGCGAAATTCGAATCGCAATAGCGCGAGAACAGCTGCTTATTACAATTAAGCGGCTGCAATCGTTTGCGGTAGCACTTTTTTCGACGTTTCCGTAGCTGTTTGGAGCGGAGACGACCGCCTTTGTCAGAGTATACGAAATTACAGCACTTTCGCTAGTTTGATGGCCCGTCTCGGCCGTATTATCCCTCTCATCCCTTCATAAACTTGCCAGAATTCTCCCTCAAATTTTCTCACTGAGCATTCTCACAGTCATCCATCTTCTCATCATCAAATCATGTCTCACTCAATCTTTTCTTTTCTCTCGAAAATTTACATCCTTACCCACCTGACTTTGTCAGGTGCTTAATCTTGTCTGACAGCGTTGCTTTCGTTCGTTATATTTTTTGTGTGTTTGCTCTCATCTCACCCTCTCAAGTACTACATTTTCAGTTCCAGATGCCGTTCAAGCCAGTCGAACACGCTAAATGTCCGAAATGCGGAAAATCAGTTTATGCTGCTGAAGAAATGAACGCTGGTGGATACAAATGGCACAAATTCTGCTTTAAATGCAGTTCGTTTCTTTCTTTTTCTCTTTACTATTTCATTAGTAAACTATAGCCGAGTCATTTTGTAATGATTTGTGCAAACGCACATAACATCCATATTGAGCGTAAAATTTCAAGATGTGACCATTTTTCGGCTCAATTCTCATGAACATTCTTGATCTATGCAAAAAGGAAAAGGAAAAAACGCTAAGTTTCCATTCTAAGCGAGATCCGTCTCATTCGGTCAGCAACTCACAGTCAAATTTTTCGTGATTTGATTTGTGCAAATGCACAACCAAAATTACATGTAAAACCTCTATAAATCGAACTTCGACGGCCTTTTGTATAAATGCTAAATTTTCCACTTCATATTTTCTTATTGTCTGGAAACAAAAAACTGAAAAAAAGAAGCTGAGACACTTTCATAAGTAAAATGCACAAGATCGGCTGAGTTCCAGCACTTCACAAGAATTTCGGATAAAGTCTGCATCCACACATATTGGCTTACGAAATGACTCGACTATAGCCATAGCTTTGGAAAAATGCCAAGCTGCTTCTTTGCTCATCTCGTGCGCGTTTCTTTCTGTGAATCGTACTTTACCCTTTAACCTCAGCGGGGCTACCCGGCTACTCCATTGTTATCCGTCTTACAGCATTGTAATACCATAGGTGTGTGGATGTATTAAATGAGAAACAGCTGCTCCACAAAGTCCTCGAGGTCATTCCGGCCGAAGTAGTCGCCCGACGGACCCTAGGACCCTCTTACATTCAAAAACTTGTCCGGTAACCACTTATAAAGAGGGGGAGGGTGCTTTCTTGAAATTATCAGGAGCAAGAGTGTTCTGGCAATAATTTGCGTAAACAAGATGCCGCTCCCAAAGAGAGCTTTCCAATCATAAGTGACATATTTGAACAGTAGACGCGCAAGAGACATTCCGTTGATGCGATAAATCGTTCGCATTGGTTGGATGAGAGATTGAGCGATGACGAAGAAACGTTCCGTATGTACAGCTATGTGCAAATCGTGCGTTCGGAAGATAAGAAGGCTTTTTTAGTTTTGAAAAACGATCGAAGAGCCTCTTCAACATAAGGATGAAAATCTAGCGATAATTTAGCTACCAAAAATTGTCGCTTTTCATTCACGCGATCTGTTGGAAATGGAGTAAAAGCTAGCACAACCTGACCAGGCTAGGAGATCCTCCTTCTACTCCCCCCCCCCTCCCCGTCAAAAACTCATTGTATAGTTTGACATACGACCCAAATTTCGCGCATTGATTCGAAATTCTCGTATAGTCATATGAAATTCCGTGAGTGATGATTCTGCTGCGATTGAATGGTATCGCTGAAATTGCACGAACGCTATCGCGAATCTCAGTGTAAAGTTGTAAAATATTGGTTAGACCACAGCCGAGAAACGTTCTGCTCCGATATCTTGCAAAATCGACATTAGTGTGGAGTCCGGGAAATGATAGGGCATAGGATCTTGAGTTTGTGCATTTTTCGCTAAAAAAAGGCAAAAACAATCAACTTGCATGAACACAGGGCATGGGTTCTTCAGTTTGTACAATTTTCGCTAAGAAAGAAAACGAAATTCGGAGCCTTTTTTAGATCGTAGTATTTACAACACATACTGTAACAAAGTGTAGTAATACGATGTTGACCCTATCGTTTTGTCCTGAAAAGCTTCGCAATTAGCCCTTCTTCCTCCAAACCTTTCGCAAAAGTTACCACGAATCGGTTGAAAATTAGCATTCATTGTCACAAATATGTAAAAGTCTCCTCTACCCAAAGCCTATTGCTTCTTAGGAATTCGCCCTCCACAGCCCTTCGTCTAAACTTTTTGAAAGATGTCACCACCATCACTTTTTGTGACAAAAACCATCTCAAAAATTCAACTCATGTGCCAGCCAACGCGCAATGGAATGTCGCCTGTTCATCAAAAATTTTGCGCTATGTAAACATGTTTTGGCTTCCTGAATGCTTGACATAGTTACCGGATCTCCGGACATCTAACGCCTACGCCTAGTATGAACAGTATTTCCGTAGTTCAACAGTAGCTGAGGAGCGAGATCTCGACAGGTGGCTTAATTGCGAAAGCGAAATGTAAGAAATATGCTGGACACTTTGGCGGCGACAGTGCAATTGCACAACTACATAAAACTGCGCGTAAAATCCAGGATTTCACAAGACATAAGACAAGCGGTGCACAACTTCTGGATGAATGTATTTCATACTTTTTCCATTTTTGTATTCTTTCTTGGTTAAAATGATTGGAAGAAAGCGCTTCTTTGTCCCATGCGATGGTCAGGCATCCCTGAATTTTTCTCTCATTAGTGTGTTGTTGTGTAATCGCTCATATCACCGTTGACACCTCCTCAATCATACAAATGACCATCGATCTGTGCTACTGTCATCTGAGCTTTAATATACTCACGGTTCTTTTTGTATCAGTTATGCTTACGACTCTCGTAATAATCCGAGTACGAGTTTTTCCATTAGAATGCGAGAAGAGTCATTTATAACCTAAAAATAGCTCGAAAAATGGCGGAAAGACACACGGCTGTAATAATGTACATCAAAGTGATTCTAAGGCATAGCGTGATCTTTGGGAAGTGAGGGGCACGTAATTTTTTAATATGATGCAGCGAAATCTCTTGTAACAAGAGGTGAGGTGTCTTCGACTCGAATATGTTTTTTGTTTCCACAGATCGATGGGAATCTTGAATAGCAAACATTTTCTTGCGAGCAGCTGTTAATTATATGCGACACATCTTCGAGAAGTGGAGAGGTCGGAGAGGAGGGGAGTGGAGGGGAGGGGGGAAGGAAAAGAGGCCAGCATTCCTCTATGGTGTTACGTATGCTTCATCTATATTTTATTTAGCTTGGTCAAATCAAATATTTTGCATTGAGAAGGATAAGTAACGTATCTCAAGATCTTGAAATTTGTTCAGATAGCTCAGCTTCATGAGAACAAGTTAGCTAGACAGACAACAGATTTTATCACTTAGGAGAACCCACAGTCCAACTTAGGTTATACTTTACAAAGCCCGCCAAGTTCCTCTTCAAAGCCTAGTCCATGAGAATTGGGGCTCAGAAGGAGAAGCAATCGGACACGAAACAGCTCCTAAACACTGCAGATTTTAAACTTTTTGGAGAGAGAACGTGCTCCGTAATTCCAGAAAGTTTTATCTATAACTTATAAAAAACAAAATCTCTATCTAACACAACTCGACTAAACTACTCTACTTCTTCCATCCGTGATAGAAATTTTTGTTTCTTCCGAGCTACTACATTATTCTTCTTTTGCACTAAAAACTACCCAGCTTGGCATCTACCAACTGTGCCATGTCCTATCGAATTCGAAATATGAAGTTAGCGGTAGTAGCGGTAGCTATACACCAATAATAGAAGCAGAGGGAGGGAAAAGGGGTGGAGGCTTTTGAAAGTGGTATACAGGGTGCGGCAAAGTCTGGGAGCCTAGTACTTTTTCAGATAAAATTAGAAGGAAACTACCTAGACACAGAAATGGTGCACACATAATTCGAACCTTTACAAATACAGCGCAGCTCTCAAATTTTGAAAGTGCCTCTTTTGGCTACAAAGCAGCCTTCAAGATATTAGTAAGTCCACCTGTCGTGGAACGCAGGCTGTCAATGAAATTTGTCCCATGCCTTCAAGTTTATTGCTTCTTTCAATAGGAAACGTGCAATACGATAGAGCAAGCCTCTGGCTACCACATATTACAAGGAATCTTTTCGCAACGCATAGAAAATTTTTTTTGGAATTTCAAATGTAGGCAAGCGTGCTAGCAGAGTGGAAATTTGGATGTGATTGCGCGAACGGAAGCAAAAAATCATAATCTAAAATGTTAATTGCGCCATCGACCAAATTCAATTAGATGTAGTGTAGAAGACTATAAAAATAATGCAATCTAGAATTCAGTGCCTACTGCGCTTCTATAGCTTTCAAATTTGGTTCAGCGACAGATTGCCATTGGCAGGTGACATTCGCAAAAATTTTATATTGAGTTTCTGAAAGAATAGTTTCTGGCAAACGCAACTGCTACGATGTGATAGCGCAAGGCTTCCTCTACATTGTATGAGTTAAAGTGCTCATATATTTTTGGCTACGAAATACATTGTAAATGCCTGAAATTTTTGATTATGTCGCCATGCAGAAGCACTTGTTTGACAAACCCAATTCTTACAAAACATATGACATTTCTAACAAGGGAAGGATACTTGGTGACCGCGGCCTTTCAAAATAAAACGTACACCATTAGATGCATCTTCAAGCGCTGATTCCAAATCTTCTTTCGGTACCTGCTGTGCGCTCTTCCGAAAGAAGTTATGAACATTTCTTGCCACAAAAATTTTCACGGTTTTTGACGCGGGATTCACCAATATCGGTGGAATGACCACTTACGCACTACAAAAGAGCACCCAAATAAAGTAAAGCTTTACGTCGAACTCAGAAAAAAAGTGTCTCCTATATATCAGAGTCTAAAAAGCCTGGATGCTGACGATTATGACTGCTTAAACCTCGTAAAATCATTATGGAAAAAAGTCCATAATTTCGTTCACAGAGTCGCACAGCAGATAGTGAACGTAGATTTGGAATCAGCGTTTCAAGGTGCATCTACAAATATACATCGCATTGCAAAAGGCCACGGTCACTAAGTATCCTTCCCTTGTAAGCTGGGTAAAGTGTGATTTGTAGAGCATGATCGCAGCATGTGGAATAGAAGTCAAATCATTAGTAGTTTTGTAATTTACAACACTGCAAACTCGGCTCCCAGACTTTTGCCGCACGCTGTACATGATTTCTGAAACTATCCAGTAACTTCGCTCATTCGTAAATCGAAATCAATCCAAATTGTGAGAACTTGATTGAATTCAAAAAAAGAACCTCTCAGGAGATCTTCTTATGAATAACATAAAACGGTTTGAATCATTCTACTTGTAATCAGAACTAATATCTGTTGGACTTCCCGTTAGTGTTTTATATGTTTTATCCTAATACTTGTTCTGTATGTCACGCTTGGTGAAACTTTAGCAATGTGCAATAAACTGCTGGATTCGACAAACTGCTGCGAGCATCAGGCCGAGCTCTACTGCAAACAGTGCCATTGTCGGCGTTTCGGGCCAAAGGTTTGTTAGCTTACCAGCTTTTGCTCCCTATGTGTTTTTCATGCTACATAGGAACTAGCTAAAGTAGAGATGTGTGCATCTGTATAACAATGGCGTAACAAAGCAATGTGTGTTCAAGAACTTCCTACATTAAAACAGATGTTAATCTTATATATAAAGCTGAATGTCTGTATGTATGTATGTATGTATGTCTGTACGTATGTTCCGAATAGAAAATTCCATTTCTGAACCGATCCGGACCAAACTTGGCACACATACACTACGGGCCCCGGCGGGTGTCATAGGCTACTTTTGGTCATCGATCGATATCGATTTTATCGATTTTTATCGATTTTTTTTGCTGAGTTCACCTACGGGGCTGGGAGTTGGCACAGGGGGGTAATCGAGCATGGGGATTCCGAATACAATATTGGTTTTCAGGATTATCGATTACTTTTATCGATTTTATCGATTTTTTTGCAAAGTTTGAGCTACGGGGCTGGGAGTTGGCACAGGGGGGTAATCGAGCATGGGGATTCCGAATACAATATTGGTTTTCAGGATTATCGATTACTTTTGTCGATTTTATCGATTTTTTTGCAAAGTTTGAGCTACGGGGCTGGGAGTTGGCACAGGGGGGTAATCGAGCATGGGGATTCCGAATACAATATTGGTTTTCAGGATTATCGATTACTTTTATCGATTTTATCGATTTTTTTGCAAAGTTTGAGCTACGGGGCTGGGAGTTCGCACAGGGGGGTAATCGAGCATGCTGATCATCCCCAAGGGGGGTGATCAGCATGCTCGATTACACCCCTGTGCCAAATTCCAGCCCCCTAGCTCAAATTTTCAAAAAATTGATAAAATCGATAAAAGTAATGGACGATCTTGAAAACTAATATTGTGTTCGTAATCTGCATGCTCGATTACCCCCTGTGCAAACTCCCAGCCCCGCAGGTCAAACTTTACAAAAAAATCGATAAAATCGATAAAAGTAATGGACGATCCTGAAAACTAATATTGTGTTCGTAATCGCATGCTCGATTACCCCCCTGTGCAAAATTCCAGCCTCGCATGTCAAAATTTACAAAAAATCGATAAAATCAATAAAAGTAATCGATAATTCTGAAAACTAATATTGTATTCGGAATCCCCATGCTCACTTCCCCCTGTGCCAACTCCTAGCCGTGTAGGTGAACTCTGCAAAAAAATCGATAAAAATCGGTAAAATCGACATCGATCGATAACGAAAAGTGGACTGTGACACCCGCCGGGGCCCGAAGTGTATGTGTGCCAAGTTTGGTCCGGATACGGCGGAGCCGGGTAAGCCAGCTAGTGCTTTCTAAAACAGGGTTACATTTACCTCGCAAACTCTGGGAAATTTAGTGGTCAATATAGTGCACCTGCGGTGTCGACAACATTTGCGCGTAAGAATTGCGATACAGAGCACAATCGGCTTCTGACGTTGGACGTTTCCCAGGCATAGATGTTGTCCTACCGCAGGGACACTAAATTAATTCCATCTTATAGACTACTTTATGGGGAACAAAGCAAGTGTATATACACTACGTAGAGTGGTCGTTAATTTCCAGTGGCCGTTAATTTCGGGTGGAGGACTACAGTCTGCCCCAATCGGGATCAGGCCGAACCGTCGGCTGAATTTGCGCGCTCGCAGCGCTAGGGGTTTGCGCTGCATACGCGCGCTGTCGCAGAGAGCGAAGAGATTGAGGAGAGAGCAGACTAGCTAGACGCAGAAATGGCGCGAAATCCTCGCGACACGCACTCCCGCCAAGCCAATTTTGGCCTGGTTAGGATTGGTGCAGACTGTATATGTCGCCGAATTTGAAAGAGTCCCGCGCGGATTCCCTGCAGTAACGCATGTCCGCGCATATACAAGGATGCGTATTTGTCGCAAATGACCGCGGGACCGCCCTTTTTCGGCGACATATAGTCCTCTACCCGTTAATTTCCAATCCCGACGCACATAATGTGTAATTGCACACATTCCTATTCTAGCCGTTCAGCTGTATATATCGTTGAATCATATGTAACTCAATATGCGTATTGCGCACTATGCACACTGACGAACTGCAAAATAAGTTTGTTATAATAGAAGGTTTTACTGGAAAGTTACTAGTAAAGGGTGGCGTCGGTTGCCGCGTGTAGTGTGCACACTCACACATCAAGTTACAAATGACTCGAGGATTTTGTCCATGTCTGTCTCGTTGTCCTTCTATTGAGTAAGTCTTGCAGGGTGTCGGGTTCGGTATCGGAGCCGGTTCACTTACCATGGACACTGGTGAACAATTCGGAAATAAGGAAGTTGACATGACGTCAGTGTTGTCTCGGTGTTATGCATGCATGATTGTGTTGCAAACTGAGTGCTTCTCTGTCTTCCTCTTCTCCCCTTCTCCCCGCATGTATGAACCTTATCTGGTTTTTTTTTAAAGTTTTTTATGGATACTTAAAGCAGTTCAGGGCATCCGTAATTACAGTTCATTAAATAGTACGGTTAGTGTAGTGTCTCTGCGGTGGCGACAACATTTGCACGGGAGAAATGTCATGCTCACGATTGCCGACTAGTTGCTTGCAATTTGGACTTAAAATATGGCTTTAGAGCGCACTTTGCCGTTGTTTACGCACGGATGTTGTCGGAAACGCAACACCACTATTTCAGTCGTCCTACAGTACCGAGTTATTCAAGCAAAAAAAACCTTTACAAGTAAAGAAAAAATAAGAATTTAATATGAATCAAATTCAACATAATCTCTGAAATCGTTCCAAGAGTTTTCGAAAACCTCTTCAATTTCGTTTTGAACCTTTGCCACTGTTTGACTCCTTTCTTTTTGGCCTAATAACTGCAGTTTTGATTTCAAAATCAAATCTGAATTCATTAGATTATCAGCTGGAGTTAGTGGAAAAATTGAATTTCGCGTGAACAAAATTTTCCTAGCATGTGCTCATCGCATATGTTTCTAATCCATCGCTATAAGCTCTTGCTGTGCGTCGGACTCGAATAAATAAAAAGAACAGCAAACATCGAAATCCAACGATCAAATGTGAAGAAACCAACCTTGACATATGAATTCCTGCTGGCTACGATAAGAGCAATTTACCTGAAGCAAATATTACTGCAAAAAATTCTACAGGGAGCTAATTATAACACTAGGACTAGTCTCACTCCATAAAAACACCGCAGTGAGCAAAGAAGCAGTCTCTCAAGTACCTCATATCTTTTGTTCCAAGCCAATTCTAGTCGTTTGACGAGAGTTATCCTCTCGTCTGCTCTTCACTGCATGTCATCACACTTTCAGATATGTGCAACAAATTGTTGGATTCATGTACAGTAGCTCCACATGAGGCCGAACTGTACTGCAAACAATGCCATGGAAGAAAATACGGGCCAAAAGGAGTCGGATTTGGACTTGGCGCTGGATGTTTGACTACGGATTCGGGCGAGAAATTCGGCGGAGTTAGAGAAACGTCAGAGCAAGCTTGAAGTCTTTTTTGTGAGCTCTGAAAAAATGGCGTCAATGGTGATAAGCGTCAAAAAATCGTTTTCTCAGCCTTAGAACCTTTATAACCACTTTGCAACTTTCCCCCACGATAGACTTATACTAGATTCCAATGCTTGGTTGCTTCTGAAAATCTCGCAGCCGTTTTTCGGTGTAAATATATATATATATATATATGTATATATTATACATTACGTGAAACGAAAGATACGAGCTCATAAAGTGAGCGCCGGAGAAAAACTGGAGAAATCATCAAGAGAAATCTAGGTACTATTTGAGTGCCTTCGAAGATTTTCCTTGAAACCTTCAAGTATGAACGGAAATCAAATCTTTTCTGAATCCCAAGAATTGCATGCTTAAAAAGTTAATTTTTAAAGTTTGAACACTGATCAATTTTATTATGGGGCTATAATTCGTATAATTCATGAAAGTAGTCTCTTTTAAACATGCAACGTACGTTTTTATAAGCTTTTCACCATCTATATCCCTTCAAATTTTCAGCAGCCTCAAATCGCTCAGAAACTTCTACTACTGAGATTTCCAGAATTTTTCCATATGTACACTCGTCTGATTTTCTCAGGTTTCGCTAGATTCTTATGTGTTTTCTTCTTTTCGATATAATCAAAAACTTTCTGCGCGTACAAAACAATGCTTTGATTTCTGACTTCAAATGAAAATCGTACAAGTTTGAAGAGAAATACGAGACTAGGGTATAATTTTCCGAATGACATGGAAAATTTCCGCATCTCCTTCTCTGTGATACTTCTGATAACTCCCTAGTACTTCCAACCCTTACTTTTGAACTAGGAAGCATGGAACTATTATTAGATTTTGTCTCTATCATCCCCTACTATTGCGATAATAACAATTCGAAGCTAGTGCTGACCATAACGCCCTATTTTCAACTCACTAACACCACTATTAAGTGCCACCATCAAATCACTAATATTTCAGGAATCGACCTATGACTGCCGAAGCTTTCACAGCTCCGATCAATCCATCACACAGCTAGAATACATCTCACATGTAGAAAATCATTTTCTACTTTCATTATCGTTTGTATAATAAATTGCTTTTGTGCAATATAATACCAATGTTTGGATGTTTTGCTCATAAAGAAGTTAATAATCATTATGTCGATTGTAATACGCAGGCCAAGAATAAAGCCACAAATTTTCAGAATGGCAATATTTATTAGCGTTTATTACATAGTACATATTACACATAAACAACATGCAATAGATCACAATAGCTGTACAAAATGCCAGATAACTACACACTATAATTTATGCAAGGGTAACCGAGATGAATAACGATTAGACAGAGATGCTGATAATGCATAGGCTACCCATCCCACTGAGTATGCTCATCATAGGCTTGGAACGGTAACAATAACGAGGAATGATGTCTACAAATCAGTAATAAGTCTACTCTGTGAAGTCCTGTCAAATCCAGTTTTGATTGGGATGTGAGTGGGTCCAGTAAAGGAGCTGTAATGAAAAAAGGATCACTTGTAAAGTGACCATGGAAAGAAGATGAAATTCGATACAGTCTATCGATTTGAGATTTGATTTAGTACCCCTGTGCCAACAACAGTCGTGTGGAAAAAATTGCAGTTTGTAAGCCGGCAACATTTGCCCATGAAGAATAGCCATAGAACGCCTTTTTTGTGCATCATGATGAATTTACACGCAAAAACATTGTCGGCACCGTAAAGCACTACAACAAACCTCAAGGGTACTGACGAAAGAAGGCGCAAAACTCATGGGCACGCGCGCGGTTTTATTAGCCGCAGAGCGCATGAGGCGCAGATTTTACAAGGGCGAAAATACGCGCGCGCCGCGTTCGCGACCGCTAGACTGATAATGTTTATGCGCTTTCGTCCGGCTATGGCCTTTACATGACTAATACGACTAAGCAAATTCTAGCAATTTCTGGCAATGATCATAGAATAGGTGCAAATCATTTGCAGTGAGCCTGCACATTGCGCGCGACAACCGACGACGTCCCTTAAGTAGGCGGCCAAACTTATCCGGTTCAATCGGTCAAGCGGTTCGCTCCTTCGCTATTGGTCAGATTACTGAATTGACCATTAGCGAACGGGTGAGCCAGAACGAACCGGTTGAACCGGATGTGTCTGGCGCCTGCCTTACTAATAACCCAGTACCTTCCAACGATTAACCTGGAAACGTGTTATCAAGTACAGCGATAGGGAGAAAAAACAACGAGAAGCTTAATAAACCGATTTGACATCAACCTTTGACAACCAACAGGCTACTCTTAAAAGTCTAAAGTAGCGCGCATATTTTGCAGTAGGCATATTGGGTTACAAATGACTCGAAAATCCGATCATAGAACATAAGCCTTGCTCAAACCAACCTTAACCCGTTGTTTGTAGCTCGTAAACCGGGACCATCAGAAAACTTTGGAATTCGAGATATCCGCGTCTCATCCTATAATTTGTAACGAGTGAGAACCGGCTGCAAAAAGCTGAAGCTTTGTAGCAACAGAGCAGATACCTGGTGAGCGTTAGTGTCGGCTGACTTGTACCTTGTGCTGGGAGGACGAATTTTTGATGGCTTCGGTATGCCAGTGTTAGGCTTCGGTTTCGGGTTAGAGGGAGAGATGAGAGAAGTGGGTGAAACATTTTCACGATCTATCACAAGATGATCTGTATGATTTGAGGGTTTGGCAGGTGAGGGAGAAACTGTAGGTGCAGAAGAGACTTTCGACCCAGACTCGTTTGTTTGCTCCTAAAGCGCTAGGATGAGCTATAGAAACCAAATATAGAAGCATGCTATCAAAAGCTCGGAAAAATTGTGCAACTGAGGAGCAACTACCAAGCAAAGCATCAAGACAAGTCGGGGTCTCACCTTTTCCATTGATGTGAGCACGTACTTCGGTATCCTGCTTGAGGAGCGCGAAGACGGCTGCTCCGAAGATGCATCAGGGAATGAGCTGAACTTCTCTTCCATGGGGGAAGAGCTCTGGAAAATTATATTCAGTAGCTCTATTTCATTACTCAGTTGATCATCACCATACCTTTTCCTTCACTGCTGAGATCGGAATCATTGTGATATGTGGTGAAGGCAGTGTTGGTGCAGTAGTTGGCAGTGGTTGTATTTGAGCTTGTCCGAGCGATATATTGCTAAACATTCAACCTCTTCCGATAACTGTGTATAAAATAAAACTCACTTGACATCGGCAGCAAAAGGATTTGTGTAAGGCAACGGCTGAGTGATCCGTGATGCTGTTGTCGGAGCCTAAAACAGAATTTATTATTCTGTAGCAATGTCGTCATGCATATTTTGCTTGTTACGCCTGAGAAAGGGGAGGGGTAAAATGAATAATTTTTGCTAAGTAACTTATAACTCAAACATTTTATAGTAAAAAAGACTTTATCTTCAATCAAAAGGACTGCCTGAATCAAGGATAGCGAATCATTCGACTACGAAAGGACGTTTGCAAGAAATTCATGTTAAGCGAAGCTATTTTAGGGACATTACCAGTGTTAGATTGGTCAACACGAAAATGCGACGATTTAAACGATTCCTAAGGATTTCAAGATCAAAATTAACAATAGAAAATCTTACCGCAATAAGTGGAGGCGGGATCACTGGTTGCGTTGGTAGTGCAGTCGTCCTACTATTATCTACCTCATCTCCTACAGTAAGATGGCTGACTAATTGTTCCGTAGCAGCTAATGAATTTCTAGGTTTGGCCGTGAGTGGCTCAGAGAACTGCAAGATTTTCTTCATAAATCATTATGATAAATTACAGTACTACTCACTGTTTCTCGTACTGGCTCTGATTTGCGTTGTTGTGCATGGCTTTGTCGAGGACCATACCGCTGGCTCGGCCTTCTCTCAAAGGTGGCCGTCGCTCTTCGTGACAGACGTGCGCCATCCTTGTGAACGGTTTCGTACTCGGTACGACCTCTGTGAGAGCCCGTATTGATAAAACAACGATTGCGATAAATTGATTGATTGGTTACCGGTACTTAAAGGTGCTTCCTAGGCGGAACAATTGGGAGCGAGAATGCTTGACACAGGATCGTGTTTTGAGCCGGAAGAACGTGTGGTGTTCAATAGCACACTTCCACAGATGTTTGCAAGCCTTATGGGACGTTAGGTTGAACACAAAAGTATGCAACTGAACCTGTCCGGTTGCCTAAAGTAATAACAGGCGTCACGAAAAGTGAAAAGATACGACTAGGGCATATGCGGTTGAAAGTATATTGCAACTGGCTTACAAAAATCAAGGCACAATATGAACAAAACAAGCGTAGAAATTTTCAAAAACCTACTGATTTATCGGCATCCTCCTCGACGACGAGCGTAATTTTGCGGTTCTTGAAGTCAAGCTTCTGGATTTTTTCCCATGAAAAAAGTCCAATCTTCTCCTTTCCATCGAAAACGAGCATACCAGAGGGAGTCAAGCCAAGGGAATACCTAATTGAAAAGTGATGAACCGAAATGAAGGCGAGAGATAAAGCGACATACTGATTTCCGTCCTTGCCCTCCACAGTGTGCATGTCGACGCCGTAGAGTTCCAGCCATTTCGCACGATTCAGGTAATTGGCCTCTGCTTGGGCTGGAGTTTGGCCTCTGAAACTCTTACGTGTTTGCATACTGCAAGGAACTTCGGAGAACATCTAAAAGGTACAAGATGTGCTTTGACTAACCGGCATAACTTATATCGCTCCAGGATCTCAATCTCCATTTGAGCATCTTGCTCGGGATGAAAACGGAACTGAGAAATAAACAAAGCATCATGCTCGATAGAATTGTAGTCGCCGAGTTCTGCTGCAAAACATACGTGTTAAATTTCACTTCGTGACGCCCACATGACCCAAGTAGGTTACCTACATTGTAGCGCATAAGCTGCCAGTTCTACACCCACTTCTTTGCTGCATGGAAGCTTCCCAGAGAGAATATCTTGTTTTAGTTGCAAGAAGAACTGATACCTTAAACGAAAGGAATGGTTTTCGCGTAAATTGAGCGTGAAATGATTTCCAGCGAGGAGGAAGAATGACGAAAAACCAAAGTGGTAGAGCCATCATAAAAGCCTTGGTTCTGACATGTAGTGTCAAAATGAAAGCTTCTCGGCTAACGCACAGGGTACAATGAAGTAGCGTAGAAAAGTTATACCTTGTAAGCTCTTCTTTGAGATTGCTACTCGGTTCCGTCGTGTAAAACTTCACTCGAAACCGGAACGTGTATGGAGGGCCTATTGGCACTTGTTTCACAAGCTTTTTCATAGGGTCAAGCCAGTGCTGAAAGGCGATGCAGTTGAGGCGGTATACAACATTCCCAGATTTCTTATTTTTCCAGGAATACAGACTTATTCAGCAAAATCGCTACGAGATTGTTTTAGTTCCAAAAAAAGATACCCTTGGATGTCAGAAATGGAATTTACAGCCATGTTACTCTATTTACTTGTCACTGACGGTCTATTAAAGTGATGAACGGCTGTCAGCAGCAATCAGAATATTGTATTGATATCAATTTCTATACTTTCGAACATATTGTACCCTGCTGAGTTTCTGCCCTGAGCAAAAAATAATTTTGTAGCAATTCTGCTAAATATACGACAATATTCAAAGCAACATAAAAACGTACTCTTGAGGAGATACTGGAAGTCATCATAAGTGTGCGTCCTAAGCCCAGATTTCAAACAAACCAAACTTACTTGTACATGGTAATGGTCAGTAAACTGTAATCCAAAGTAGTCCTTTTCCTCCAAGTCCAAGGAATAGAAGACTTGATCGTAAACTTCTGATGCCAGCGCATTTTTCTGCAAAAATGTATTTTAGGAGATCTCAACATACTCAGAAGATAAAAGACTGAGAAACATACAAGGAAATGAATACAGCTCAGAATGCAGATCATCGTACGATCATGTCATCTATTTTGGCATTGTTTATGTACAAAAATGTTATATATGAGAAACATGCATGATTTTGGGACATATGCGACTGCATCACAACCCATGCGACGTCATTAATATGCCTTTAGCCTCTTTCGACAGAGTGCGGCAAATTTATGACTTTTGCCCAGCTACCGTATACCCTTCACAAACAGCACAGTTTCAAGTGATGGATGCCATGTAGACCACAGAATTCTAGCAAAATTGTTTTTTAATAGTCGCAATGTGAAGTCACACAAGACTGCACTTAATATGGACAGCTCAGATATCTGCTACAGTCGGGCATTCCTTTTAGGCCTCGGGCAAACTTCAAGCGATTTCGCCGCCTCGCGATTCTACCGATAAGGCAACTGTTATGAGTCCGCATGGCAATAGCCTTGCCTTTCGGTCATGACAGTTAGTCACGATCGGTCGCTCTGACTAAACTATCGCAATGAAATGCAGGACTGGCATGCAATGGATTCATAACAGTCGTCTTGTCGGAAATCGCGACGCGATGCAATCGCGTAAATTATGCCCGAGGCCTGATGGATCGGTCATACCTCGCGCAATTCTGGTCGCCGCGCGAATCAGATTGCAACAATCGTTCCTGACACTGCGTAGATGCATTCTGTGTAAGCAAGATCTGGCATATATGCATAAACAACAGCTATGTGCCTGTGCACTTATTACACGCGCATTTGAATATTTGGAAAACTGCCAGGTAGCTGGCGATTGGAGTAGTCGCCCAAGGTAAGACGGAAGCTCACGCGAAACGAAAGCCCCTAAAAGTATGAGAGAGAAGAAGCTTACCGCAACGACAACGTTGAGATCAGTGCCATCCAACAGAATGACTTTGCAACTGGCTTGGCGACGAGTATCAATGCGCTCGCTGTCGGATCGTTTCGAGCCAGCGTCGCCGCGAGGTGCTCGACGAAATCGCGACGACAACGTGCGGAAAAACGAAGGCATTCTGAAAAGAAGGAACATTCACTCTTCCTTGCTCTAAAATCATAATTTAGTTCCCTCATCAAATTTGGAATAAAAACCATGAAACACTGTCTCCTTAAAGGATCTCTATAATGAGCTATTCATCCGATGCGGCTGGGGTTACTCGTAATGAATGGGTACAGTCTAATAAATTTTCCGCACAATATGGTGCGTTTGCGGTGTCAAGATGTTGCGTAAAATTTGCGCGAGAACAAATAGCCACGCCATGATGCCGGCCACCCGCGCGCGAGAAATGCCGGCATAAGGCCCCGGCCAGACTTCGCAAAAGCGCCCAAAAGCGCTCAAAAGCGCCAAAATTTCTCCGAACTCTCATATCTCTTCACACGAGAAAGCGAAGGGACATTAGAGAGATTCGGGCGCTTTTGGGCACTTCTGAGCGCTTTTGAGCGCTTTTGAGCGAAGTCTGGCCAGGGCCTAAGTGACGTGCCCATTCGTTCACTCGCAAATTCACCGCAAAATCTCGGCACCGCAAGCACCCCTATATTAAGCGGAAAATCTACTCGACTGTATCATATTAGGTTGAACCGAAAGTTCGTTCGCACCATTTTCAAAAAATCATAACTTCTTTCCTTCACGACGATTTTGCGCAATTTAAATTTTATTAGAAAGCGTAAAGCATGTAGTTTCCAACAGTCTCCTGGATACTTTCCAGCACGTTCAGATTGCAGAGATAAAAATGAAAGAACGAAAACATCTGAAATTCGGAATGTTTGAGAAACAATTCCAAAAATCTAGAAACTGCGCGATAAAATCCAGAAAAGCCATTATCCTAATTTTTCTTATATTTGATTACAACTGAGTTAAGTTTGTGCTGATCGAGCTCTTCTTTCAAAAGTTATGATTTTTTGAAAAATAATTCCGAAAAATCAATTTCTTGGGAATTCTTAGGAAAGTGATTTTTCGGAATTTTTTTCAAAAAATCATAACTTTTGAAAGAAGAGCTCGATCAGCACAAACTTGACTCAGTTAGTAATCAAATATAAGAAAAATTAGGATAATGGCTTTTCTGGATTTTATCGCGCAGTTTCTAGATTTTTGGAATTGTTTCTCAAAAATTCCGAATTTCAGATGTTTTCGTTCTTTCATTTTTATCTCTGCAATCTGAACGTGCTGGAAAGTATCCAGGGGACTGTTGGAAACTACATGCTTTACGCTTTCTAATAAAATTTAAATTGCGCAAAATTTTCGTGAAGGAAAGAAGTTATGATTTTTTGAAAATGGTGCGAACGAACTTTCGGTTCAACCTAATATGTGTGGCATATCTAACCTCTTTATGCGAAATTACAAGACAGCCTGAAAACCTGCCCCCCCTTACCGTATACCCACCGTCACAGCATATCACAACATAAGGAGTTATCGTAAGACTGAAAATCACACTCTTGACCGCATGTCAAATTCTATATAAACTTTCAAAAAAATCTGAGGTTTTCATTTTTTGGGTGGGCATACTGGAATGGCGATCAAAAGCTTACTTACAAAGTAAAAGATTACCTACGGGGCTAAAATAAGAACAGCATAAATGGATAAGCTGTCTTCATTCCACGGCCAAGCAAATTACCAATGTTTGCGTGGCTCGAATTGCAAAATCAGTTGACATAGCGATAAAAGAAAGAAGAATTTTACTCGGCGCTATCCAATTAAGGGCTTCCCACTTTGGCTGCCTAGTCATTAACTAGAGAGATTTGAAAAAGAACATCTGCGTGCCACAGCCGGAAAACATTGAGTAAAATGAATGCAAAGCCCAGAAAGAGAAAAGCGTTCCAAACATGTTCATGAGAAGTTAACATGTAAAACCTGCAAATCAACAAACATGCTAACAAGATAAACGCGTCAGTGTACTACAGTAGAGACAGGCAATCGTCTTAGGACCAAGAATAAAGATTGTTGATTGCAGTACTGTGCTAAAATACTGTGCTATACTATGAAATGCTGTGCTTACAAATAGTGGTTAATATCTTGTAATTACCAACATGTTATCACAAAAGCTCCAAAGAAGATGATTCCTACGAAAAGAAGGAGCGTTTGGGCGACCTCTCCCGAATCTAGCCCATCTCCAAACTTGGATCCAGTTTTTACCAGAAGATTACGAAAAATTGATTTAAATTGACATTTAGTCTCAGTCTGAAAAGTTCTTTTTTGAAGACTACCAACCGTTATATCTAAAGCCAAATGATTAGTTTCACTCATTGTTGGTAAAAAGATACAATAACTTCAGGCAAATTTTTTTGAAGCAGCATTAGCAACAACACAGAGTTTCCGAACGAACACCGGTATTGAAAATGGAGTTTTCAAGGCCTACGTTCCTCTTTCTTGGAAAATGACCCAAAAGGAAATTCAAGTCTTTTTTCTAATCAAACTAAAACGGCTTTGTTCCATGGTATACTCGTTGATCTTCCACATATGAATAAATAAATACTTGTCAAAATATTCTCCAAAAAAGTACTCCATACTTTCAATTTCTGAAAAGTTGAATAGAATATCTCACTCCCAATCTCGAGAAAGTAATGCTCAGTAAATTCACACTTTTTATCTGCAATTTTTTACATCACTCACGTGTACATCTACAGTAACATATGGTGAAGGTCCCATCATATGTACTTTAGAAGGTTGTTAATTGGAGATTTTACGTGGAATCGTGCAGAAATTCATAGATCTGAGCCCTTATTTTGATTATCAGTAAATCTAAATTCTCAGCGGTGAAATTTAGGTATTTGTTGTGTTTGAAAGTTTTTCGTGGAGTAGCGCCGAGCAATTACTGTTCCAATGCACATAGTTCCTTATAAGTATTGGACTGACTACAGGCGAAATTCAAAAAAAATGAAAATTGGATAGCAAAGTCGAAGAAGTTCTATTGTTTCAGAAATGTGTGACTTTAAAGTGCAAAACAGAGAACTAGGAGGGCTATGGCGGCAGATTCAAATGCCTCAACTCAGCTAGTTCTCCGGTTGCGGTCATCTGGTCATCTGTCATCCAGACAGAGTGTCAAATCAACAAAAAAGCGTTCACGTAGCTCTACCCCTCCAAAGGGGAGGAGGAACCTCATTCAAATAAGATTAATGGACTCATTTTTTCCAGATAAGAAATCAAAAAACTCACTTATCTAATGGGTATTTGTTACGATTGAGCCATGGACTTCAACGAAACACCTGCAAATATAATAAGATTGAAAATTTGAAAAATTTGCAAATATTCATTTTTATTTCGAAAAACCCGTGCACAATGGAAACGAAGAAGAGCTGAGCGAAAGGACAGATGACTGCACTTAGCGAAGAACGCAAGAGCGCCATCGCCACAGCAAAAAGAAAATTAAAAATGTTGAAAAAGGAGTTCTTCGAGTGAGAAATGTAGGCTGAAATGTTTGCTGCATAGGTACGGTAGGGGGGACTAATACGGTTATTGAAGAAAAAACAAGAAATCTAGGCCGATCGTAACGATTCCACTCCAAATCATTTTGGCGTAGCCGTGATCGAAAATCATTATGAAAGGCGCAAAACGCTTTCAAAGGAGATATGGGTTGTAAATATTTGAGCTGGAAAACTTCTTTCACTGAGAACACAAAGCCTTTTGCAGAATTAGGATATAGTGTACTATACGAAATCGCTTATAGCAAACTTTGATAATAATCTTTAACTTCGCCAAGTTGCTATAGTCTTTTAGTCGGCTGAAAAGGGTAATAAGGTGTCAAGACTCAGTAGAAGTCGTCTCGATACTTTACAATGTAGTTATTCGTTATCAAGCAAAAAAATTCAGCAATAGTTCACCACTGATTTTCTACCTGTTTTGAACCTGTGGCTTTATCTGACTAGGTGAGATTTTGACTCCTTAGATGGCTATGGAAAAAAAACGCTTAGTTGAATGCATTAAGGAAAAAGATTGATATTCGAGCAAGCTAGCACGTATAATAGAAAATAAAAATTCGATTCAGTGACGGACCGAGGAGGAGGGTGTGAGCAGGGCTCGGCACGAGGTGGCTTACAAGCAAGCTGGATATCGTTTTTGGGATGAAAAGCAAAGGGGGTTTCGTTTTTGTGACCGAAGACACACGCAAAATTGGCGATTTGGCGACGTTTTTTTTTTAGTCGACGTTTCGTTTTTTGGAGGATTTTTAGGGAATATGGTGGGGGGTCAAAGGGGACTTCGTAAAAATACTCAAAAGTCAAGGGGGACTTCGTTTTTTGCATTTTCATCTAGCCACCTCGTGCCGAGCCCTGGGTGTGAGGAGCACAGAACAGGCTGCAAAATTCTTTGAAGTGGCCCACAGTGATATGAAATTGCGCAAACGACTTGTTTTTACTTGCAAATTCGATAATATTTGAATAATTTAAACTAGCTTTGTGAAAAATTTGGGGCGAGGTTGCCGCTGCGCTTACTTCTTTAGAATTTTCTAGGTTACAGGTTGGCAAAATCTCGGAAAGCATCCCAAAACTGCTTCCGGAGGGCGTGCTAATGCCAATCCTCAACACTCAAAAAATTGTTTCGAGGCCAAATTTGGAGAAGATATTACATTTTATCAACAGAAAAATCTAAAAATTAGCTTGTTCCTGTCTTTATTTTTCTTTAACTCAAAGACTTCGAATGAGAAATTTTGCAGTTTTGAGAAGAACACCCGAACTTTTTAGTTTCGAAAATTGCATTATTCTATGCGCTTGACAGGCATATTTCGAATTTTCAAGTAGCTCCAGTACTCTTCAGGATGTAATAGCGTAAAAATTGGCTGCATTGTAATAACTATAGACCAGAAACCAGCTGACTGTTACAAAAGTCGTTAGTGATAGTGGTACGGGTGATGAGTAGTGTGATGATGATTATGAGCGCGACATCCGGCTGACATTCAGCGCGCTCGGAAAGCGACTACGAAAGCGATGTCATAAAAGTGTAATGCTCAGAATATCTCTTTGAACTTGTCGACGCCCTTTCGTAGCACTAACAGATGTTGTTTCCCTTTCATCAAAATGCCATATTTTTACTGCAAAAACGTGAGTCCAGTAAGGCTGGATTTGACGTTTTCTTTTCTGCAGAAAAAAAACTCAATAGCTTGGTGTATTAAGAAAGATGTACCTTCTTCAGCCAAAAGCGCTGACATGATGTGACGTTTCAGAGTAAATTTTCGTGATTTGAAACCATCATGTAAAGGTTTTAGATTCCCATTTGCATCACTAAATTTTTTTTAAAATTAATAACAACAACTTCTATGCCGAGGGTATCAAATGTTTGATTCTAGGAACTGGATTCTCCTAGATAACAGATTTCGAAGCAAAATGAAAAACTGAGATGGAAGTCGCCTTCATGTCTAGTAGTATAATGATGATAAGGCTTTGGCCATACTTTGCCCGGTTGCCGATGTTACCAGTGTTACCGGTGTTGCCGATGTTTCCAGTGTTACTCGTGTTGCCGATGTTTCCAGTGTTACTCGTGTTACCACCTTTATTGCTGTTGATTCTCGAAATGATCGCCAGTACAGTTTCAATCTTTGAACGCAGTCTCACTGAGTGGTGAGTATACAGGACCTGAGGCGATCATACTGCAATAATAATACCATGCTAGAAACCTGCTTCAAAAAAGTTCTTATTCTTTTTTCTTTCAGTTTTTTTAGTTTCAGTTTCAAAAGTTTTTTTTTCAAAGAAGGGAATGTGCTCCCTTCTCACATATGGCCAGGAAAATCATGACACGTCCGAGGACAAGGTTTTTGAATTTCGATCAAGGCGTCCAAAACGTTAGCCAGTATGTTAGCGCTCATTGTGCTACAAATCAAACAATATGATTATATTTGTTTCATGAAAACTTTTTGTAGCAAGTTTCTAGCATGGTATTATTATTGCAGTATGATCGCCTCAGGTCCTGTATACTCACCACTCAGTGAGACTGCGTTCAAGAATGAAACTGTACTGGCGATCATTACGAGAATCAACAGCAATAAAGGTGGTAACACGAGTAACACTGGAAACATCGGCAACACGAGTAACACTGGAAACATCGGCAACACGGGCAAAGTATGGCCAAAGCCTAACAGATAGTCCTTCGTTGCTTTATCTTTGTTTCCTCTAATACTTTCAGCGGGATAATGCAAAATTCGATTTGTAATACAGGGTGTCCCAAAAAAATGTATCGAACGTTTGATCGTTAATATCTCTCTTCTAAAAAAGTCTTTTCCCTTGCTTCAGGTACCAATCTGTAGAGCTGGCTTCAACTTAGATTTGCATTATAGAACGAATCACTCATTTCTCTTCATTACTGTAGGATTACGGTAGAAACTTCAAAGAGGGTTCTAAGCAATGAAAGCCATATTTTGCCTCAGAAAGGAAACAAAACAGCCTGAAAGCTTTTACACTAGGCTAATTGGAGTTGCTGATTATAACTGTAAAGTTCCCAACTTATCATGATGTCTTATTGAAAAGTTATGCCAGGTAAGAGGTAGCGGCCATTTTTTCAATGTTTCTAAGAAGTGCGGTTACACCGTTTAGAAAGCTTCGCAATCTTGAGAATAGTTGAGTATTGAACTCAGCGTCGATAAAAACCCTATTACACAAGTTTTCACAATTTTTTGGAAAATTGAAACGGCAGCTTATTCCACATTGATACCATATGTTTCAAGTTTCTACCGTAATCCTACAGTAATGAAGAGAGATAGGTGATTCTTTCTATAATGCAAATCTAAATTGAAGCCAGCTCTACAAAATGGTACCTGAAGCAAGGCAAAAGACTTCTTCGGAAGAGAGATATTAACGATCAAACGTTCGATACATTTTTTTGGGACACTCTGTAGATTGAAGACCTGATTACCTAAACTGTCCGGCACTTCGTATCAATCTTGCTATCATTTCAACAGACTCAACACTAGTCAAAAAAGAAACAAATCGATTCATTACTGTTCAACAACCACTTTATTGTTTCCTTATTCGTAACTTTCGTACGAAAGAAGACAGCCAATAACAGCTTACAAAGCTTAGAGCTGAAATAACTTCAGTCTTATTGGTATTTTGTAGAGCAGTTCATTGGTTACAGTGCTACAACCGCAGAGATAAGCAGCAAATAAAAGCCTGCTAATCAATTTAATGAGAGAAATTCGCGATGATAAAAAAGCTTATCGTAGTTCCATGTTTAGACTCCAAAGATTATTCGTACCTCAAGCTATATTGTGCAATTTTTTTTATAAAATGTGAGAAGAAAATTTCTCCAAGACGCTAGAAATTATAATTTGTCATGTTCACGTCGTTCTGGTACTACAAGAAACAGGAAACAAAGTGGAGATAGAAAGCGAAATCGTTCAATAAATACTTAAAATAAATATCAATATTATTTTCAGTTCGTGTCGAAATACAAACCTGTAGGATTTGCAAAAGTTCAAGATGTGTAATTTGTTAGAAGCGAGGTGTGCATGATTCAAATGTTTGCATAAACTTTGCAGAAGTTGACAAGCGCATTGACAATGCGACAAGTTGACATATTTGTTGACAATCTGACAATTCATCCATGAACAAGTAGGAGACGTCGATTTACATGCAAGAAAAAGAAGAAAGCGTGAATGGTCAGCAAAAGACCGGTCGTTCTTTAGCGCCTTACGTCGGCTGCGACAGCCCTCTGAAATTCAAGTTACTGCGAGATACAAATTGGGTAGTTACGCGGACGACAACGACGTGTATGGGAAAGAGATGTCGAAGTCAAGCGGCTCTGTTGTTCAGCAAAAATTAATCACGGGTTTTTTCCAGGTTTTTTTAGGTGTGCCTCAATGAATATAGCGTTCTATATCGAATATATCCGATGTTCCAGAGATTTTTCTTGTGCAAAACGTTGTAAATTAAATGCTGAGCGTTTAAATAAGCTGAAATAATTTTGACGATTTCGTACACTTGCAATAAAAAAGTTTTGGGAAAGGAGAGTACGATTACAGCCAAACTACGGCATTTACCCATTTAGTTCCAACAGTCGAAATCTTTAGAACTGATCAAATAAATTTCAAGCTGCATTTCTGCAAAAAATCTGGTACGCAATTTGTAAAATCTTCGCAATCTATTTCTGGTAAGGGGGGGGGGGGAGCCTTTGGCCCTTCACTGGAATACGTACTTGTGATTGAAACAATATTATTCATACTATCCTTCACGGCAGCATTCTAGATGATCATATGTGTGATTGCACACGTTGCCAACCTCTGGCGTCCCATCTTCATCTTGGAACCTTGGAGCAAACAACCCATCAGATAAGTGTTTCCGATGTGTTACTAACGTTTTCTTTGGTTTCGAGGTACTAATTACCTCAAAACGATGCGAACAATAACAATCGGTCAGCTTGGATTTTTGCGATTGTAAATTCAGGATGAGGGCGTCAAAGATGGACGGTGTGTGCAATGCACACATGATCATATGAAATGATTCAACTGTATATGCAGTTGTCAAATAACATTATTTACTTATATACACGTATTATTTTGAATTATTGTCTACTAACTCTGAATTGATACACCGGGAAAAGGCAAATTGTATTGCCTAAGTGAAGAAGACTGCTTTGATCCTTTTACTGTAAAACAAGAAGATTTAGATACAAGCAAGCAACATACATCTATAAATGCGTCCTATGTGCCTCGTTTGACGAAGAAATCTACAGTATCCATCAAAATCTGCAGAGGATAGTGTATCCGCCCCGATTCCATTTCATGCTGAACAAACAGCGGCAGGCGATTGTTATACCAAATAAATGGTGCTATCTTCAACTTTGCAAATCTGCCATATTTACCGCTCTTGGGATAAAAGGAATTGTTGCAACGACTACTGCAAACAAATCATGATCCCAACGCAAATTTGCAAAAATAGTCACTAGATCTTGCGTCTTATTGTTCTTTGAAAAAAAAACGATACAATTTAATCTTGTTGAAATCTAAATTAGTTAGCTTCTTCCCGCACACTTGATGGCCATCGAATCGGTTTCTAGAGACATTAAAACTTGAATCGTCTGAACCCAATGGTAAAGTCAACCATGTTGTGTTATTTCCCTTCCTAAATGCCAGCTGTGGCGTTTTTTTTTTGGTAAATAAATTGATCAAGCTGATGAAAAATTGCAATAGCTAAGTCCATTTAAGCTCCACTTGTAAGATACAGCACAATAGGGTGAAGAGGAATAGCGCAAAACAAGTGCGAGACTGCTGTTCTTCAAAGCGGAGTCCGAAAAAAACCTGTCGCGCATGATGTAATAGGCTTGGCCTCGTTTAATGAAAAATTGAACTTGATCGGAAAATGGCAATTGGACGTGAAGGAGCCTTTCTTTTCAGTTTTGTAACAATGTTGATAAGTGAGCAAAAAAGAATTTTTATTTCGAAAAATCTTAGCCATTCACAAGTCTGCAAAATGTTGGGAGAACAAAAATTCTTGTAAGAGCTTTTCGTTTTCTGCAAAAGAAGGGACCAAGCTAGCCATACATATGTACGATTTAAAAGCTATATGTGTTTTTTAACAAAAACAAAAGGCATTACGCTCTGTTGAAGAACAAGATATTTCTACATCTTTTCTGAAATACGCATAAAGCCATAAATAAATAAAGCTATGTTTCGTATTTCTCGAATCACAAAGACTTTTGGCGAAAATGGAAGAAGAGCAGCGTGATAAAGCACTAGAAGTTTATCAGTTCTTCACATAGCTGTGATTACACCCCCGCTCTCTATTTGCATAGTTTTATTAGCTGCTGTGTCTACAACACGTGGCTTATGCATAGCATCAAAGTCTTATTTACGATTAGCATGGAAATGTTTGCAAAGTTCAGCTGATCATAAACGAGAAATCGAAGAAAGACTCCAGGCCAGGAATTATTTACAGGTTATCTATAATGTTACTAAATCCCGTATAGTTTAGATTTGCATCAAATCAAGTAGTATGTCTGTCAATCGAAGTTTCTGAAAATGTTTCACGAAAAAAAAAAGTACAATTTTGTCAAATTTTGTCAGGTAATGCATTTTTTGCCTAACATGCATCAAATTCCAAAACATTACTGTTTAAATAGAACTACCAGTCTGTCTGTCCCATTGTTGAATGATTGATTTGCCACGTCTTTCTATTCATTAGGAAATTTCAATTGTACAAGTGCAGATATTAAATTGTCCTGATAGTTCTGTCGTTTCATTTTTGAAAATTTGTAACTTTTTGCCATTTTGACAACTTTGCTTCATTTTTGTTTATTGGAGAGAAGAATTCTTCTTCTTTGTAGTCTATGAGCTTCTTCTATACATTCATTGCAGAGATAACGGAAAAAGAAGACGCTTCAGCTTTGACCATTTTGAGATGGGTCGCCAAAAATCTTTAACGCTGCAGAACAATCTGAAATTGCCAGCACATAAATTTTATGACCTATTATCTGCATTTGAGAAAAAATTATGCTATTTGGACTCTCTATGAAAAGTTGTAGGTTTCGAGTTTACAATAGAAAAAGCAAAAATTAATTGATTCTTCTCTTGAAAATCATAAGTTTTCCCGGAAACGTCCAACAACACATTTATTTCTCAGACACAAAGAGTAGGTCCTGTAACTCATGACTTACAATTTCAGATTTGTCTGCGTTCCAGATTTTGACTAATGGTACTCAAAACTCCTAACTCAAAATGGTAAGTTCACGTGGTCTTCTTTTTCTTTTTTTATCTCTGCAATGAATGTATAGTTGAAGCTTTCCGAGACATCCTTACAAAAAGGAAGATTTTTCTCCTTCAATAAAATTAGAAAGAAGCAAATTCGATGAGACGGCAAAAATTACAAATTTTCAAAAATGAAACGGTAGAACTTCAGGGAGAACCTCATATTATATCGATAGAAGAGCTTGTGGAACAGAAACAAAAACTATCCGAATCTCACTCAGCGCGAAGAAAACGAGAAAAAGTGGCCATCGAAGACATAACCATTCGGACATGGTACTCGAGAAGTTTTTATGTGTAACCATGATTGATTTCAAGGAGACAGCATAGGAGAACGCTATTTAGTAGCAGAGTCAAGATTTATTGCTTTCTTCGTGTAAAGAAGACACATAGTCTCTGCGCAAATGAATGGTCGAGTGACGTTGTGACGTTGGCCGAACAAGAATTTGCAGAACTAGAGATTAGCTATTATGCGGAAAAATGATTAGGAAATGGTTAAGAAAACTTTCTCTCCGTAACTGCTTTCGGTTTTACATAGAAAAGCAATCGTTTTCGTAGCTTTTTTTGTGTAATCAATAGAAAAGTTTCACTATAGCTTTGCGAAAAAAAACTTTTCAAGATCAGATGCTGATGGTAATCAACAAAACTCTTATAAGCTACGCCATTAACTCCATGAAATTACGTATATATCGCCCAAGTTTTATGGCTGTGAACAATCTCAAATCTTTTGTAACTTCTTGCATGATATGGAAAAAACAACAATTTTTTGGCGTTTGATTTCGACTTATGAATTATTATCATCCTTTTATGAATAATCAAAGAAGCCGATAAATGAAAGTTTTGTCTCCTCAATTTTCCTTTTATATTTTCTCCATCCAATATTGAAGGGTCCGATGCTGCTACACCTCGTTAAACACTAGACACTAACAAGGGAAGTTCACTTCTTCAAAGTGACGATTCGGAAGGAGACCTATACCAGTGGATAGAGCTCAAAAAGCTGATCTTAGATATACCTTCTATATCTGCGATGCGTTGTTCTGAAAAAAGTTATGAGCATTTCTAAATCCAAATTTTCGTGCATTTTGAGTCGCAAAATCATGATAATCGTTATACAAAAGTGTGCAGGCTTTAAGCAACCACCTAATAAGCATTGTAGGTCTAATTCGAGTTCATCCGAATGCTATCGAATGTTTTTCGACCATGTTGTTCATCCACAGGTCGTCATTTCATTCCTAGATCACACTTCCGTTATTATAC